CATTCCTCTTGTTGTTTCTGCAGGACCGAGCGATAAACCATGCGGCCGGCAGCCATGGAGTCTCAGGGATCTTTATGAAATACGATATCAGCTCACTAATGGTCAAAGTCACCGAGCAGCACATGCCTCTCTGGCAGTTTCTTATCAGACTCTGTGGCATCATCGGAGGCATTTTCTCTACCACAGGTGCAAACTCTCTTTCAAAAACACTTGTAATATGTTTCAGATGCATTTCTAAAGGACAATACTGGAGCTTTATCATGTTTTAGACCTTAAATTAAGTGCTGACTGCTTTTTTTTAGTATACTCTAACAACATTTTTAGATTTGCTTTCCTGACATCCAGGTGGCCACCGGGTGCTTTGATTTATTAATTTAACTACAGTATGAAAATCAACTAGCAGACACTTAAAACGTGGTATTATCCATCACAATGAACCTGTTTTTTTCTTTAGCTAGATTTATTCTTTAGTCCCATTAATGCAAAAATATCTTTGTATTCAAGTATTCGAGTCATAGAGTCACAAACAGCTTTGACGGCTTTAAATACATACAGTAGATTACTGTATGTACTTAAAGTCGTAAAGTAGCAATCTACATAAGCAGTATTTATGGTTGCTTATTATTTATCTGTCGGTTTATTTTTTTTTAGCCCATGAATTAAACAATTTTCTGTCGCTAATTATCTAATCCTGGATGTTAGAGCATCCCACAAACACCTGAACACCTCAAATGTTTATTAAATCTGCATTACCATAGATTAACTTACTCAGAAACAAGTCCTGCAAGTTTATTTTCACTCTGGCATGAACGGAAAACAACTGAAGGGAGAAAAACAACCTAAAAACATAATTGGATTCTTTGGAAACAATATCACATTTTTATTGTGGTTCCTACCTTTAGATGGTTTAGATCTAAAATCTACACAACATGTAGTTAATGGGCTGAATCACACATTGCTTGTTTTAAAGACCCAAAGCTCCATTTGTTTACCATGTAAAGCAGGTTTTAAGATTTTTACTTTTGTTTTATCATCTATTCCAGTAAATAGTGAGAAAAATCCTCATTTAAAACAGAGTTGCCAGATATTCTCACGGAAATATTAAAGATAATGGGAGGAGGTGATGAATGAATTGTCATTAACTGTCCCAAAAAAGAGAGTTACTGGAAAGCTAGAGGTTTAAATTGTAGAGGAATAATTCTTCTTGTGAGGGTTCAATCTTAAAAAAACTGGAGTTAAACGCTCATAAAAAGGCAAATCATTCTTATATATTATTTATCGATGTATGTGAGCATAGAAACATAAATTTGTCACACAGACATGCACACTGACTCTCTTTCTCTCTCGTAGGAATGGTCCACAGTATGGTAGGATTCTTAGTGGATGTAATTTGCTGCCGTTTCCAAATGGGAATCTACAGACATCTTAAGGTAAGCCATTAATATGACCATTAACCTTGTAGACACGATCCAATCTGAATGGAAATATAACTAAAAGAGTGACAATTTATTTTAAAAAACTGTTAGTTTATCATTTTTCTGTTCTCTTTTCTCAGGAGGCTCCTCCGAATGAGCAGGCGAACAGTGAAACCCCGGTTCCTACTGAAAGCTACACTCAATAACAATAATGTGAGTCTTTACAAGTGACAGCTCACCGTATTGGCCTAACCCACTACACAGCAATGAGATGCTGAGAACATGTTTACAAGTTGTTTTATTATCTGCCTGCTTTGTTCAGAAATGTGTAAATATTTGTATGATTTAAAAAAAATAATAATAAGATTTGTTATCAGATGTAAGATTCACTGTATTCAATACCTCCACTAATTATCTGTGACTGGACAGCAGGCTAAACACAAATTATTCACAACATTATTGTATATCTGACTTCATTAAATAGATGGTTCCTGGTGTTAGAGCTCTCATGGTGCACATATATACCGCTGTTTATTCTTATTTTGGCTAATTAGACCTTTTCTCAGGGTTTTGTGGTTGTGTATGTTTGACATCTGTCTGAAAGATAACATGTGGAAGAGACATTTTTCTGATTCTTTCATGTAGTTTGGTGACTCCCTGCATACGTCTGCTCAGCTTCAAGCTGAAAGAGGCCTAATCAGGAACAAAGTAAAGTATCTGTGTGTGTGCTGAGGGCCTTTTTCTTTTAAAGGGGAAATGTGTGAAAAGACTGGAAGGGTTTTTAATTGTTCCACAAGTGTGCCTGTGTGTAAATGATTATTGCAAATGAGGCTGATTTGTAAAATAAAGTACGCTTTCGACTTGATTCATTATTATTTACCTTGTCTCTATTATATTCTGGTATAGTCTCACAAACGGTTATTTTCATTAACGATTAATATGTTTATTATTAGTTTGATTGGTCTGTAAAATATCCCCAAAAAGAGTCCAAGGTTATGTCTAATTGTCTTGTTTTGTCAAACCATCATGCTTCAAAAACTCAATTTGGAATGAAAAAAGCAGCAAAACTTCACATTTGAGAAGCTGGAAGCTGACTGTATTTACTATTTTTGCTCTGCTAAACGATTGATTATCAAAATTATAGAGATTAATTGTCCAGTTGTTTTTTTTAAAAAACATTTCTGGTTGTAATATTCAATAAAACAATCTCTAGAAAAGAATATTTTACACCATGTCAAGAGTTTATTTGACAGTATTTCAGAATATCTTTCAGTAAACAAGTTTTTTGTTTTTTAGCAAAATGTAATATATCAGTACTGTCGCATTTCATAAAAATAGTTGTTCACGTCTTTGAAACTACAGTATCAATGATACAGTAAACCATATTTGTAGGAATACAGCTGTACAAGGTGAATAGTACACAATTAACACTACACAGTTATACTTGATCTCAATGGGGATTTATGAACGTGCCATCCTTCACAGGTTCCAATAAAGCAGTTTTTTGTTTCTGTATACAAAATCACTCAGAGCAGGCAGGGGGACGGCCTGGACGGAGACAGAGGGCTGGATGACATATTCTTTCACCTTTTCTGAACTTTGACATTTGTACATACAGTAAACACATTTCTACAGCCCAAAGGCATATTGTCATGCTCCTCGCTAACGTGTTAACCAGTTAAAACCCGTGAACCACAGTCGGCTCAGAAACATCCAGATCACGTTTTTTTTACTCAGAAACCACTATGGGTCAAGATCCGTCTTGATGATTCTTTATGCACAAGGTCTTACCAGTGTCCCAGTCTGCAGGTGCATTGTCTCGCTTAAAGCAGTTTACCAGTAGGACTAATATACCAGTTCACAAGCTTGAATGTGCCATCGTGCTGCATTCAGTCAAATAATGACATTGCATTGTGATTTTTCTTTTTTTTTTTAAACTCAACTTGCTCCTCTAAAAGCTCTGCTCTCATTAAAAATGAATCATCAAACATCTTGTGGAGAGAAATGGATGACAAATGGATCAATGCAGACGGATAGTGACGTCATCTCCGGGTGTCTTGGTTTAATAGCAGCATGCCTCGACTCTGCCGGTAACAAAACTTTATGATCAAACGCACGTTTTCAATGCGTTTGTGTTTCGCAGATCGTCTAAAGTCTTGTGGTCCAGATTCAGCGAGCACTGGTTCTTCCTGCAACAATGCAACACAGGAACAGACAAATAAAGCTGAAATGAGCCTCCACTTTGATAATGACCCAGTCTGGATAAACTTTCACCACTCAACTCTCTAAGAAGAGGATGTAATGCTACAGGCTACATTTGATCCCCTTTTAAGAACTTAGGGGACAAAGGGCAATCATTGACATTGATAAACTATACAGCTGAGTGCATCAAGATAACCGTATATACTGCTCGGTGTTAAGTCTGAAGAAAACAGGCTCCACAACTGATATGTGCGCTTGGTCACGAACATCTGTTTTGCATTCAGTTCCCAAAACAAATCAGCTCTGCATTAGTTTGAGTAAGGCACTCCGCCCCACCTCATAACCATCGGCCTCCCCTTCCCCAACACCGATGCCCCTCTCCCACAGTGATGTGGTACACTTAGCACAGTAAAAGGCATAGAAATGGGAAATACAGACAGGACAAAATCCCTTCTGTTGAGAATTTAAATGAATACAACACAGCTTATAATTCTGCACAATGACTGCATGGTTGAGTTGTGATCAAGTTGTGTACATAACTCAGAACAGTATTATGAGTCCTTACTAAGCCAACTGTTTTCAGTCACTCAAAAGTTCAATTTGATGGGGAGAGAAAAAAAAAAGATCTTTTTGACTCACATGAGTACCAACTGGTCAGCTCCACAGAGGATATCCTCTCTATATTCTACCTCTAAAAGACGTGAGTCCCTGTATAATGACATGGTGGTTTATATCCATGCACACGACCACTGCCTCCCTCAGTGGTCTGGATTTGGTGACTTGCACAGTCTTTGATATGTAGTTATAGACGAGGCCTTGGAAATAGTCATCCTAAAATACTGTTCTGTTGTTTTGTTTTTTGTCTTTTCTTTACAATGTATCTAACTACAACACTGCCTCAAAAAAAAACACCAACAGGTATGTTTTTGAGATTACCAAATGTACATATTTTTCACATCTTTACATTTACAGTATATGATATATTGGTAGGCATGTGAGATCTAACATATGTCGGGTTAACCAGGCTGTCACTTGGGTCAGTGCCATGTCCTCCAGGAATATCAGTGTCTCTGCCTCCCTCTTTGACAGATTTGTAGTCTCACTCTTCCTACTACACAGAGAAAATGGAGCAAAAGTAAATCTCTTGGATGTGCATATGTCTCTCTCCCATCTGAGGTTACGTTGCACTAACCAATCTGAGCCAGATTCGGTCGGGCAGTTAAAGGTACGCTTCGAAAAAACAGCTCCACTCAGAATCAGACATCGTTGCTCCATCTGTGATTAGAACATTAACTGTTGCATCTGAGGGTCCAAAATGCCTACATATTGAGCAGTCCCCATCAGTTTTATACTGTATGTTACAATAGCTGTAAAGTTCCTCTGTTTTTTAAGGTGGTGGGTGTAATAATTCTCTTGTAAGAACAAATGAAACATAAAATATGATCTCAGAAGTAGATGGAGAAGAAAACGGGACAGAAAGAGAGGGGCGAGGGAGATTAACTGTTTTTCTCAGATATCCGATGGTGAACTGAATGAGGAGCCAGACAATGTGATCCGGTCCAAACCAGCGAGATCCATTCTACCTGCTTACTGTGGAGGTCCAGGACCTCAGGGTGCCAGGCAGTTTGTCAGACCCAGGGACGTTCCAGGGCCCAGGGGAGGCTGCTGCGCTCCTCGGAGGAGGATCTTCCATGGTTTTAGAGGGGCAGCAGAGCCCACTGTGGCCACTGGCCCTCTCATCTTCTCTGGGGAACAGACCTCTGGACACCAGCCTCTCCTGGAGGCTGACATGTCCGTCTCCACTGCCTAGAGAGGCTCCATTAAAATTCACACTCACATACGGGTCCCAGGGCCAGACAGTGCTCATCGCCTGTGTGTGCAGGCCCTTTCTCTCACAGCAGGGGGAGCAAGTGTCCCTCTGCCTTTCTCTTCTTTCAACAGACCTCCCCAGGACAGCTTTGGGAGGCAAAGCCCGAGGCTGTCTGTCGCCTGGTCCACAGTCCACCTCTCCAGACCCCTGAGGGGTTCCCTGCCCCCTGGTGATGCACTTCTGCTGGGTGGACCTGCCACCTGTAGCCCCTCTAATGGAGCTGTGGTCTGTCAGCTGTGGAGCTTTGTCTGCCATGCACACTGTGGCCTCTAGAGGGAGCTGATGAGGGGAGTCTGGGGCTGAGGCTGGATGGGATGAGAGCAATGGATTCTGGTGGGTTTCGAGGGTCACTTCCTGCAGGGCAGAGTGGGTTGTAGAAAGGGAATCCCAGGGGCCGGCACAGTCTGTCAGGGAAGAAACAAAACATGCTCAGGTGGACTGAGATAAAAGCAGAGTGGCACAAACCACCATGCACATGCACACAGAGAGAGTAAGAAAGATGTACACATCAAAACAATTTAACACCACATCCTAATATAACATCAGGCATACTTGCATGCAAATATGTGTGAGCAGCACACACCTGACCATGTAGGCCTCTATGATACTCCTAAGGCCTAATCTACACTACTTCAAGAAAAACATCGTCATGGGCGACAGGATTCACTCAGTGATCGAAAACATATTTGTAGTTATGTGACAGACTGATTCTGAGCAGATTGACTTCACACAGTCTACTTCACAGCCCTCTTCAGGATGATACAATTTCATCTGGAGGGTCACTTCAAACCATATTGCTCTATTACTACAACACACTTCAAGCACCCGCACACACACACACGGACACGCACATGGCTGCTATTTATCCATGCATTAACTCGTGATCATGCATAGACGCATGCATGCCTAGAGCACAGCTACACTGCACACATATTAATCAGTATAGAGAGAGAGAGACATGCAGTTTTTCACAAACCGTGTCTTTAGAGTGGCCCATTAGGAAGAAATAGGGGGAGCTTAGTGTGTCACCTTTCATGCACATGGAGAGGTTGGAAGGTACCATTCCTGAGGGAAGGCAAGTAAAAGCCTATACCAATCATTAGACTTAAAGCAGAGGGGCTACAACACACGAAGAGCTAGTGTGTTATTTTACTGTTGGATCAAAATACTTTTTCACATAAAGACAAGTTTAATTTCTGATGACAGAAGACAAGACTGCGGAGCGACGAGTAAAATGCAGAAGATATTAATGCATGTTAATATGTTCTTGAGTAAAACATATAGCATTTGCAAGAAGAAAGCCATTCTGGTTAAAAAACAGTAATGTTGAATCTCAAACAATGAATCTCTAGTATGAAAGTGAGAGAGAGATCAGGTGAGAGCCTAAAGAGAGAGAAAAAGTTGGACATTTAGAGACTTTGTGCCAGGAAAACCCACCATATTCTGGCACCTGTCCTGTGCCTCGCTTTAGCAGCAGCCTGACCCGCCTGCCTCCCGCCTTGATGAGTTCAATGGCGCGGGCGTGAGTCATGTCCCGAGTGCTGTCTCCGTTAATCTCTATGATCTGATCCCCTACCTGGAGGAGAGACACAGAGGACAGGGTCGATTTCTGTCAGCCTGTGTTTGTCCACGGAAAGTTGACATGCACGGTCTTTTGCTGGTGAGTAACTTGGGAATAAGTGCCATTAAGTGCCTTGTTCAAGCGCACCTGAACAGAAGTTGTTCTAGGTGAGTGGAGGGTTATACTGAGTTCACATGCACTTATACTTACTTACTTTGCCCGTTTCCTAACCTTTAAACTATGTCTGCCCCATGAAGAAGATGGGGCAGAAAGTAAATTAACATCCACAAAAAGAAGGAGTTACAGATGATGAGCATAGCAATCTACATTTCTTCAACAAAACACTGACAGCAATTCCAATCATCTCCCAAAGGCTTTTTAACTGTGTCTTCATCATCTCATCCATGACGTCTCACCCTCATCCTTCCATTACGTATCGCAGGACCATCCTCAGCAAGGCGCAACACAAATAGGTCCATCTTGTACTCTCTGCCCCCGCGGATACTGAAGCCAAAACCCTTTGTGCTTTTCTCCAGCTCCACCGTGAAGTAATCAAAATCCTGCAGAAGAAATTTAGACAACTTGCAACAAACTCTTTGCAAATAACAGTATATGCCCATTTTGCCGGAAAAAAAAGATTATTAACACCCTCTAAACACTCGATGCTCAGCTTGAGCAAATAGTTCTTGGTCTAGCTGTACCTGTGGTCTGAAGTCAGCAGGGATCCCCAGAGGGAACTGTGCAGCTGCAGGGTGCTGTCTGAAGTCCAGCAGACCAGGTGGGTGTCTGTAGTCCAGCGTCGGGGGCTGTCGATAATCAGTAACCGGTGGGTGACGATAGTCTACAGGAGGCTGCCTGTAATCAGTGAATGGAGGATGGCGGAAGTCAGGTTTGACGTCCTGTCTGGCTTTTACCTCTGACCTGTGAGGAGAAAGCAACATAATTAGAGGAGAGAGTTTGTGTCATGATGTAGAGAGCATTGTTTGGTGTCCTGCACACAACCTCACATGTCTTCTCTTGAGAGTGGAGAGTGTCCCTCACGGTGTAGATTTTTGGGTAAAGTAACGTTGGAGCTTAATTTGCCATGTGAAGGAAGACAGTGCAAGGATTACTGAGTATTTGCAGCTGAGGATGCTCGCCACAAAGGGGATGGAAATATCACTCTGTGTTTTGAAACTTTTATCACATACCCGCTTGTAAAATGGGCATAAATCCACAGCTCTGGGAGTGCTTCTCTGAGTGTCTTGATCTGAGACTCACATACACACACACGCGCCCATGCATGCACTCATACTTTCATAGTTTTGACATGGAACAGGGCCTGATCACTGGGTTCCTGCATTATAGAAGAGATACTTTAATGTAAATTATTCACTGACACCGTAAGAGCTAAGTGGTGTTACGCAACAAGGTAGAAACCAGCCTAAGACTGGGAGTCTGACTGAGGCAAAAACTGTCAGCAGTCCCAGGTTTCCTCCTGAACTTAATAGCATGCAAGGAGATGATGGCACCCTCTCATCTTTGTACACAGTTTGATATCTGTTGCCTTTGAAGACTACTGCTTCTACTTTTTCCAGGAACTCTTTGCAGTCACCACAGCGTGCTACGAGTCTTACAAAATGCTCCTGCTGAGTCCAAACGAGAACACCCCTCTAAGTGCCGTTTTACCTGCCGTCGTGGAGGTAGAGGTGTGGAGGGAGGCCGGAGGGCTGAGTTACTGGGCTCTGCTGGGTTCCAGCTGGTGCAGGCTGGGAGGCTGCTGGTGCAGGAGGGCCAGTCACTGTTTGGCATGTCTGAGCTGGTATCTGGCCAGTCTGGGCAGGTGCTTGACCTGTCTGAGTGGCCGTTTGGCCAGGCAGGGTGCCTCCTTGGCCTGGCTGGGCTACAGGGCTGGGCTGGGTCTGGGGGCTGTGTTTCTGGGTCATGGGGCTCTGCTTCTCTGAGCTGGGGCCAGAATGGGAACCTGTAATGGACAGAAGGTGAGTGTGGAAAATGTCAATCTCTGTGTGAAGAGAGGGCTTTAGAAGTAAGACAAAATAAAAAATAAAAATATATATAAAATAGATAAAGAAAATCTGCTAAGGATGCAGAAGACTGCAGTGCTGTTGTAGAATTTTCTGAAATGCATTTAGGAAAACGACTGAAGTATCAGCTGTATAACTTAAAGGGGCCTCATAACCTTTAGCTCTACAAAGCTAGATCTGGCTGAAGATTATTTGTTTGTCACCACAGCCAAAGCAGTTCGGGAACATCACTCCTCCCAACCTCATGCTCCTTTCTGGCTTATTATATGTAAAACCTTTACAGGACTAAAATAAAATGCATTCATATAAGATGAAGGTTTGACTTCGGGGAGTTTTTTTCATAAAGTACAAAGGGAAAACTAAACAAGATAACAATATATGATTTCATGTCACATACAAACACTTACCCTCCTCTGGTATGATGTGCAGTGTGACTGTTAGCCCAGCATCTTTAATGAGCTTGACAATGTCTGCGTGCGGCATGCTGATGATGGACTGTCCGTTCACAGCGAGGATCCGGTCGCCCACCTTCAGCTTGCCACATCGGTCGGCAGGGCTGCCCTCGATGATACGTCCTATTTTATGAGGCACAGCTGGAAACAGGCAATAACAAGGTGATTGTCAACGGTAATTTTGAAGAAAGATGTAAAAACAGCACTGACAAAACTTAATTCTGAAGTGGAAAGAATAACATTAAAATTTGTTTTACAACATGAAACAGTTTGGAAGAAGGCAGCCACTTTTTAAAATTACAGGTCCAAATATTGTTATTCCTAATGAAGCTATGTCATGCACAGAAGCACACCGGCTAAGACATGTAATTTATAAGACTGAATCACTATTTTATAGCAATAACATCTAAAAAAAAAAATGTTTTTTTCAGCTCTTTTCACACAGATAAAGATAGAAAACTGAAGATTTCCACTTCAATTCCACATTTTTGGACCCACCAAGCTGAGAAAATCCCTGAGGGACTGCTGAACATGCACCATTACATCCTGAACTAATGTTTGATATTATAATGACTACTGTATATTAGACCCACTGTTCGGGTATTCATATTCCTAGGTGTATGCAGAAACCTAAAGGGGGTGTCATGAATTTAGGCATACGATTCTTAGAAGAAAACACAACTGGCAAAATATCTTCTAAATATATTTAAAATGATTATTTAAATGGTTTTTAAATTAAAACAGTAGAAAAAAACCTTAATCACTCTAGGACAGTCCCCACTGTTGTCATCAGGATTTACAAATCACCATTTGTGTTCAGTTACAACCTTTAAACCCCAGACAGAAGCAACTCACTGATGACGGTGGCATTCTCCGGTCTGTTCAGGGAGCTGATGATGACGAAGCCGAAGCCCTCATTCTCCTTGCGGTGAATTACCACATCACTGGTCTGCAGAGCAGATGCCTCTGGAGGAGAGGTGGCAGCGGGGACGGCGACCGCCGGAGGGCCTGAAGCAGAGGCTGCATCGCTACGTGGGGAGCTGTGTTGTGTCGACACCGAGCCGGGGCTGCGGCCATTCACAGGACACGGTTCACCTGGAAGAAAGGGAGCCAGGAAGGAGATGATAGGATGAGTCCAAAATAGCAGCTCTGTTACTGTAAAACGTGACCAATTTACTCTCAATGGCTATTTTAAAGCTTGGCTTAAGATATAGCCATTAGAGAATTCCTAGAACAGTGCACT